CACCATCATCATCATCATCATCATTTTCTTCTTCTTCTTCTTCTTCTTCTTCTTCTTCTTCTTCTTCTTCTTCTTCTTCTTCTTCTGTTTATCTAGGCTGACGCCTGAAATTACAGTGGTCGGTGTGTATCCAATATCTTAGCTACCACGATTTCACTAGGCAAGCCCTAAACTCCAAATGCCTAATAATGACCTCTTAAAAATTGACCGGAATCCGTTGGAGGCGCCAATAACTAGAAACTCCCTCACTAAATGGAAGTAATACTGTGTCGGGCATTATTTCCAGGTGTCGACGAATATTATTGGCACAAGATAAAAAAAAACAATGATAGGACTGAAATAATGACGGAGGAGATCCATCTGAGTTAAACAAATTATGCCTATATTTGTAGACAGGATGTACAGTTATTGTAAAATCTTCAGACGGTGAAATTTATGCGATTCCATCTTCCACCTCGGTTGTCAGCTCCGTGGGACATACCTTCGAAACTTTTTAAAGCAATCACAAAGATGGTCTTATTCGCAGACGATTCATTTTATTCTGAAAGAATCCGTACCACAGGACTTGGTTAACAACATCGTGAACTCAGGTCGAGATTTAAAAAAGAGGATCAAAATACGGTAGAAAAGTCAAATTGGCGAACATGTGTTTTCAGTAACTCTTCATCAGGCCAAAACGATTACGAAGACGTTTAAGTTATGCGAATTACGTGACTTATAAGTGATTCGGGGACAATTAACATCCATCGTTCCCACGCCACTCGTATGACGAGGCAGGCTATGGCGTGGTCGGCATGTCGTGGTCATTGGGTTAAGAGAGCGAGGGAGAGGGGGGACATAGGCTGTGAGTACGTCGGGTACCTTGTGCACACACCCTGCCATCAAGAGGTTGGGGCGACGTTGGGGTCGGCGTTGGCCATGGAAGACAGAGCGCGTGGGTCAGAGTCTTCTGACAGCATAGCACCGGATTGGCTAGCCGTATAGCCACTGCCACGGCTGTAGCTAGCACCCGTTGGCGTAGGCCCCTGAAGAAGCTTGCTGGTGTCCGGTAGGCCATCAGAAAGGCTTCTTTGGCATCGACTCGGTGATTCGTATCGACAAGATGTGCGAGAATAGAACTCCAGATCGTTTTCTTCTCACCTTTGACTAGCCAGGCCGGTATGTGTTCACGTACTCTCTTTTCCAAGCGCCTCGTTGTACGGCCAATGTATACCGCTCCACAGGAGCAAGTGGGTGAATAAATACGCATCGATGTGGCCTGCAACGGGAGTCGGTCTTTACCTCCCAAACGTAGGAGGGGAGAGTTACGGTAGTTAGTAAGGGGTAGGGTGAAGTTATTCCTTCGCCATTCTCCCGCCTTCCTTCTTTCCTTTCTTCTTCTTCTTCTTCTTCTTCTTCTTCTTCTTCTTCTTCTTCTTCTTCTTCTTCTTCTTCTTCTTCTTCTTCTTCTTCTTCTTCTTCTTCTTCTTCTTCTTCGTCTTCTTCTTCTTCTTCTTCTTCTTCTTCTTCTTCTTCTTCTCCATCATCCTCTTCTTCCCCTTCTTTTATTTAGACTTAGGCCAGAAATTATGGCAAGCTGTGTCTACCCGCTTTCTTAGCTACTATGATATTATTAGGTACGCCCTAAACTCCCGATGACCAGGAATTGTCCCCTAGGGATCAACCACAATTCGTTGAAGGCGCTAAGAACCTAAACCCTGCTGCCCAATGCCATCGGTCCAAAATCAAGGCAATAATAGGGACAAAATAATAACAGAAGAAAACTATTTGAAGAAAGGAAGAAAGTGATTTTCAAGTCCACAGGCTAAAGTCCCGCCGATAATAAAAGAACGAGAATCATTCGCCCTCACTGAAATAAATTCTTATCTCAGTATTGACTGATGTGGTGACAAAATGCTTATCTAAAATAACTAGGTCCATTACTTTAAAAATAACCTCAATAAATTCCTTAGTACCGTATTTTTATCGCCTAGACATGAGTTCATGGATCTGGCGAAAGCCTCCAACACGGTGAATCGTGAAGGACTGGGAAAGATCATGCAGAAATTCGGCTGTCCGGAGCGATTCGTTTAGATGGCGCGCCAGCTCCACGACGGCACGATGATGCGCTTCACGGACTACGGAGCTGTCTCAGAGGCATTCACAGTGACCAATGGAGTGAAGCAGGGGTGTTTCCTGACACCCACCCTCTTCAGTCTTATGTTCTCTGCCATGCTGATGGACGCCTACCTTGACGAACGTCTCGGGATCCGCATCGCCTATAGGACGGACGGTCACATCCTCAAGCAACGGCGGATGCTCTTCCAATCACGCGTATCCACACCCACCGTCCACGAACTTTTGATCGCTGATGACTGCGCCCTCAATGCAAATGCTGAAGAAGACACGCAAAAGAACACGGATCTCTTTCCCGCCGCCTGCGAGAACTTTGGCCTGGTCATCAACACGGAGGAGACGGTGGTTCTGCATCAACCGTTACACAACACAGCCCCCGACGACAGTGCGCCGCAATTTAGCGTGAACGGAACCCAACCGAAAGTGATGGACAACTTCACGTACTTGGGCAGTACCCTCTCCCGCAGCACCAAAATCGACGACGAAGTCGCCCACATGATTTCGAAATCCAGTCAAGCCTTCGGCCGTATTCAAAGTACAGTCTGGAATCGTCATGGTCTCCAGCTCATCACGAAACTGAAAATGTACAAGGCCGTCATCCTGCCGACGCTGCTGTACGGAGCGGAGACTTAAACAGTGTACACGAAGCAGGCAAGCCGACTAAACCACTTCCACCTTAG